CTTTTTTTTCTTTTTTCTGAGAGTGTGTAATACTGGTTGATCGCAGTGACTGACAAGCTTATAATGTTTACTTTTTTTTTTTTACGGATGTTTATACAACTTTTTATCAGCAAACAGGTAGAGAAAAGCTACAAGCCTCCCAAAGGATGAAATTGTTGAACACCCCTGGTATAAGGCAACTGGTTTCCACAGAACTAAATCAACTAAAGATATGGGGAATTTAGTCTCACTTTCGTTTGAACACTACATATCTCTCCTATTTTATTTTCTCCCTTCCAGTTAATTGTCTTTGTACTGACCATCATTTCCCCATTGGGACAGCTTTCGAGGAATTGCAGCCCAGAGAGTCTCTGAAATAACTCACTATTCATCCTGTACTTGTTTTGTAGATACTCTATATTGTCTCCTATGTCTTTTCGTAAATGTCCATCCTCCTCATCAATACACAGTTCGGGCATCACAAAGAAGTCTGGCTCTTCTACTGTCCCATCGTTATTCTCTACAGTAATCACCTTAAAGAAGTGAGTTGGCACTGCTTTCCCATCCAACCATGTCATTTCACTTGTGTCAGTCACACGAACATACTCATCATTCTCTTCTTCTCTCAGGTAAAGTGGTCCAGAGTTCACATGGACATTGCGGACATTGGCTTTCACAGCAGTATCTCGACATTCCTTCTCAAACCTTTTCCAGGGGCCTCTGTTTAGGGCCTGAGGCTGAGGTACAATGTTGCCCATCAAGTACGTGTCATGATAGGCTTCCTGAGACCACCTGTGATTGGCAGCCGCAGCGAGATGACCTTGATCATAGTCCTTGTTAGATAATGTCTCTCCAAAGTTCATGTATTTTGAACTGATTTGATCATTTTCAGCAGTTTGGTTACTTTCAGTTATAATACTTTTGTTCAGTATCTCATACACCCATTCAGCATTCTTTGTTTCATTGTTGTATGACTGGACATAAGATTTTCTTGTCCTTAGGTCAGTACAACCTGAAGGGAATCCATTGATTAATTTGTAGGGAGAGCTTACCCTATCATTTTCTTCTTTAGATTCTGATTCATTGCCAGACATTAGAGAGAATGGGATGCGCATGTAGGTGCATGATTCTTTGGGTTTTGATGGTGATCTGAAAGGATAGCGTTTAGATGCTCCATCTGTCTGTTTAGATTCCGAATCATTGCCATACATTTTTGTCTGTGTGTAGTCGGTTGTTTTTTTATCTTTGATGCTGTGTGATCACCCAACCCTGAATACCTCTGGACTAATTGTGTTCTCTTTAACTCCTGCAATATTTTCTTGAGGCAACAGAGCGATGTAAAGGAACAAAATCACTCTTGACTCAATCTGGTTATATTTCTTCTTCAAGACCTTCAATAAAGGATATTCTCTTCTTCCTGGATAAAATAATGTTGGAAAGAAATGTCAAAATTCTCCTTAATTCAATACTTATTCTAACTCATTAAACCGAAACAGAAATATTTACTGAAATCAAGAGTTTGCTGTGACCTGTCAGGAAAACAGGAACTTCTGCAGCTCTGATTTTACCTCACTTTGTTCTATAACAAACACACACAGGTGAAAAATTATATATATACAAAAAAATTATAACATTCACTTCAAACAAACCAACTTCAAGAGTTTTTTAAAGACCAATATGTCCATGCTATGTACTATTTGACAGCTGTGATAACTGGTGCAACTTTACCAAGTCACAAGGCATGTGGAAACAAACAGTATATACAAATGTGAATTGATAAATTATTATAAAATGACAATAAAATCATTTGTATATATTTTAGATATATTTATAAAATCCATTAAAGTTCCACAAGTAGTGCAGGGTTCTTTTTCATGTTCTTGTAGTTTCACCTCACCAATGCTTTACACTGTATTGCATTTTATTTGTTTGTTTATTTATTTATTTTTGTATTATTTGTTTTATATTGAACATTTTTATATTACTACATCTGATTTTGAAATCCAAAACGTGTTAACAGGCATTACATTTGAACTGTGTGGTTGTAGCATAGCATAAATTATCCAAATCTTAAACAATATTCCATGCAAAACTGTTAAGCAATTTGTTTACTATATATAACTAAGATTATCGCAATAGTTTTGATATGTAACAGAAGTGAATTAGAATCCTTACCTTGTCTGTCCTCTTGCAGAAATACACAGAAAATCTTGCAAACTTCAGTCTAAAGAACAGGGTCAGATAAGCGATCCAGAGAAATCTGTGGAATTAATATACGCTGTCTTAGAGAAATATCAATGGATTCACCATCACAGTTTTCCGGTCTGTGCTCCAGTAGCTGAGCCAAACCTGTTTATACAGACCCAATGGTCATTTCAAGACACATCTTGCTGTTCTGTTAAAGTGCCCTTTTCATTTTGCTGTCACTATAAAACATTGAGAAACGTTAATCATTGTATTACAGGTTTCTACAGGAAATGAAAAATGATGTGCCCTCTAATATTACTGTTTTGTTGCATTAAACCAAGTCACATTTTAGAACATTCCTAATCCACCTATAGCCTGCTGAGACAGAAAACTGACCTAAAACAGTCTGTCTAACCAAGACTCAGCTCTGCTCTGGGAGCGTTCCAGTAGAACTTACATTCCCAGAATGACCCGTGAGTCAAAAATGATTAGTTGGGTTTTATTAAAAGAGAATTAACAAAATAAATGTTAAAAAGTCAGACCTGAGGAAATCTGGATTCCAAACAGCAAGCTTAGTTTCAC